GCAGGGCGCGTGCCGTTGCCGTTACGGTTACCGTTACAGCCGTTTCGTCTCTCCGCAGGTCAGGCCTCAACGTATCCCCTGCAGCACCTTCTGGAGAGCTACCAGTGCCGGCGGGAAGATGACCTGCTGTCCTATGGGGAAGTGGGCATGCCGGTGCCCCCATTCGGCTGCGCCTTTGCGTCAGGTAAAGCCAAAGATCTCTTAATTCATGTTATTTCCACGAATTCATGAGATCAAGTGGTTTTTTTTTTTAATTTTATTTTAATGGGAGCTGTTAACGGTGTAATCTCATGTAGATACGGTATAAATTGGATCATGGAATTCCTCTATATCCTAACAGAAAGCATTCAGGTGAAGGTCTGAGCACAGAGCATTTATTTTAATGGCTCTCTAGTTCTTTGTCCGTGCCAGTGTGCACAATGACAGGGCTCAGCTAAAGACGTGGCAAACTGGGCTTTGTGCAAAACGTGTAAAAGCTGGAGCGGGATGAAGGGCAGTGGGTGGCAATCCAGGAGGGGGGTGTATGGAATCATAGAATCATTATGGGTGGAAAAGACCTTCAGGATCATCAAGTCCAACTGTAAACCCATCACCACCATGCCTGCTAAGCCATGTCCCATGTGCCTCATCTACATGTTTCCTGGACACCATCAGGGATGATGATTGCACCACTTCCCTGGGCAGCCTGTTCCAATGCCTGTTCACTACTCTTTCCGTGTAGAAGTTTTTCCTAATGTCAAACCCGAACCTCCCCTGGAGCGATATGCCACTAAATGTCCGTGCAGAGCTTCCCTATGATACGTAAGCGATGAAAGAAATAAATGAAGAGGCTCAAGTCTTTGGCCTTTTGGTCAGAACTCTTTCATTTGCAGAAATAACCTAGTACTGGCGTGAGCCTGTACCTTTCGCTGCTTCCTGCTTTTCCAGCTTGGGCCCATAAAAAGCACCAGAGGTTACAAAGGATGGGTTGTAAAGTAATGATGTAAAGGAGGAACTATCATAGCTGCCAAACAGGCTGGTATCTGAGAGTCTGCTCTTGGAGCCTTTGGGTTTCGCATATATACGTAACAAATCCTGAATGGGATGTCTAAAAATGCTGCTTGGCAATATTTCGGCATTTTGAAAATGTATATTGTATACATCTATGTGTGAATATTACTTGTTTTCACAGCAATCTGTTTTTTCTATGAAAAGTGATCGTGAGCCTTGATAAAGGTTAGAGCGATGGCCATGATTTATCTACTTAATATACAAATAAATCTCAATTCCTTTCAGTCCCGAATTTGGAGCATGTGCTGGCAGTGGCAAATGAAGAAGGATTTGTTAGACTGTATGACACTGAAGCTCAATCTAGTAGCAAAGTGATCTTTAAAGGTAAATATTACATAGAATATAATTTTCATTTGATGTGACAAGTATATGATACTCTGGATTTGGAGAAAGCTTTTCTTAAGTTGCTTAAACATAAATATGCCAGTACTTGAATCCTTTCATATCCCTTCATGTGTATTGTTTATAGTGGTGTGAACACATCACTAGATTAGCAGTATTAAGTGAATTGTTCTGTGTTGTTTTTCATGCCTAAGGCAAACTGTTGACAACAAATTTTCTGATTTCGGTGTCTGATTCTCTTTTGCATTCTGCAAAATGCCTTCACACTGCAATGCACTGAACTCATCTTGGCTTTTCTTTTTCTTGTCAGAATGGCAGGCTCACTCAAATGCTGTCTTTGACCTTGCCTGGGTACCAGGGGAACACAGAATTGTAAGAAGTCTTTCGCCATCTAACTTTATTTTTAACACTTTGGCAACTTGCTCCAGAGAATGACTAAAGCTTTTTATTCTTTCCCTTGAAGGTCACTGCTTCGGGAGACCAGACAGCCAAGGTGTGGGATGTAAGAGCTGGGGAGCTTCTTGGCATATGCAAAGGTCACCAGTGTAGCCTCAAGTCAGTTGCTTTTTCTAGTTTTGAGAAAGGTAAATGCTGATATTTCCTGCTCCTCTGTGTTTTTTTGTTTGTTCGTTTTTCCCTCTTGTTTTTCCCTTAAACATCAATACTTGTAAGGGTTAAAAAGAACAGCTTTAGAAACCAGTGGTCACAAATAGCACAGACAGACACTGAGCAGTGACCTACTCAGTGAAGCAAAACTAACTTGCTGGAACGTCATTTAAGAATATAAAGTGTGTTCACTGTTAAGTTTTGCTATTTTCTGGGGAAAATATTTTATTACAGAATACATTTATATAATATTGTATTATTACAATTTGTTGTGGCTTCAAGGAATTCAGAGTTACAGTAAAATTGGAGCTTTAGGTGCCATGCTAGTATCTGCACTTTTCTGATCTTGGCCAGGTTTAAGACATAGCATTGGAATGATTCAGTTCTTATTCACATACATAAACATGTGAACAATCTTCACAATCAGTTCTTTCTAGAGTAGAAGTAAGGAAAGACTAGGCAGAGTAAAGAAAGCAGTCAAAAAGTGTTACAGGAATTGGGCCTGTATTCTGCTTACCTGGGACTAGCATCCAAAAATTGGGGCAGAAGAGCCAGAGGTGGCATTGTACTGGATTTGGTTAATCAAGTTAACACTCACTGCTAACAGATCTCTCCTTTTCTCTCAGCTGTCTTCTGTACTGGAGGTAGAGATGGAAACATCATGCTTTGGGATACCAGATGCAACAAGAAAGGTAACTGCACTTTCAGATGTGGCTCAGAAGAGCCTAGAATATTGTGTAAGAAATAGTACTTGAAAGCACTTGTTGGAGTTACAGGGTGGCTTTTGCCACCTTTTAACAGTGGCACATTTGCAGAATGATCTACATCTTCTCCTTATAATACGCTGTGTATCAGTAAGGACATGCTAGGAGCACAAAATATTCTTAAGTAGCACATTATTGAGGTGGACTGGGTGGGTGTTAGTGATTAGTGCAGAGACTTGCACTTTTCTCTCTCTTGAGTTCTTTAGCTCTCAATCAGCAAATGAGCAAAAAGGGAGGCTGCACATGATAGAAATGGTAGGTACAGAAGTAAAGAAAATAGAAAAGTCATTATCTTCTATGACAAAGCTTGTATAGCATTCAAAGTTTTATAAAGTAAGAAGTACATAACAAAAGGATAAATAAATAAAAATAAAATTTTAAAGAGGAAATAGAGTGGAAAAAACACTACCAACCTTCCTGTGAATACCTTTCTACTCTGCATGATATCTGCCAAATGCTCATAATTGGGATGCATGCTGAAAACTGCAGAGTAGTGATTTCTAAAGGCAGTTTGGCTGTACCAGTTCTAGCTTCAGTGGCCAAATAACACTGACCACTGCAATATTTTGTAGCATATTATCCCCTCTTCTATTGTTCTTCTCATCAGTATGACGTGTAGGTAAATTTTTGTTTTCAGAATGCATAAATGTTATTTAAAGGTCAGTCTCAGCCACTTTTTAGGAAGTTTTCCAACCTCCTGTCTGTTTAATAAAATGATGGCAAGATCATGTTGGCATTATTTTTTTTTCAGATGGATTTTATAGACAGGTGAATCAAATCAGTGGAGCACACAATGTGGTTGACAAGCAGACTCCTTCAAAAACAAAAAAGAAGAGGCAGAACATGAGAGGTCTTGCTCCCCTGGTGGTAGGTATCTAGGAGACAAATAAAACATTGGTCTTTTGTTTGGAGAGCAATGCTATGTGTACTAGCGTTCTTAAGAAGCCGCAAGAAACATCTAGCTTAAATATGGTAAATGCTTCAATATCTTTGGCAAGGCATATTTTTGTGTAACGGGCACTTGCTATAGATAACTTTAGGCACTGTTTAATTATCAAACAACCCATGTAAATGAAAGCCATCGCCATGCAAATGCCAAATGAAAATACACTTTTCCCCCCCGCCCCCCAAGAGAGGAGGGATGGCCAGCATTCCTTTTTGTGGGGGAGGGAGTGTTCTATTTTTTTTCTTCCAATTTGACCGTACTAATGTCTGCCTCACTGGAGTAAGAACTGAGTTAATTTAGTCCACTAGGCTTAGTGATTAAGGCAGTGCTGGTTACTAATTGGAAGCTCTGGTTATTGCCAGCAACTGAACGATATAATCTTAAGGTCTCACTCAAACACTTGCCATTCATTTCCATTCACTAGTGAGAGGTTTGAAGGACTGGTATGTTGTAAATGGCATCTGGTATTCCAGCTTCTTCTGCCTGTAGTGACCAGTTTGCTGGAGAACATGAAACTTATCCTGACAGAGAGAAACCAAGAGGATTAAGCTAGTTCTAAAGCAAAACTCAAGCTGGCCTGTGGCCAATAAAACTGTAGATCCTCTCTGGCTAAGAGGTTTCCTTGGTTTTCATTTGGCCTTGAACTAAGCAGCAAGATCTTGTTGACCTTGAAAGAAAACAAACAGCTCTTTCTTTTCCTCTAAGGATTTCCAGCAGAGTGTAACTGTGGTGCTGCTTCAGGATGAGCATACTCTTATTTCTGCAGGAGCTGTTGATGGGTAAGGATGTGTGCCTGCCTGTGCTGTTCTGCATGTCCGTTGTGGCAATTAGGAACACAGTCCTCTGGCCCACGTTAGGCTTCTGGGTATTTTTGGTTTGCGATATGTTGCTTATAAGCATTGCAGGTGACTGTTCAATTAAAATCCTAGAGCCCCTAGAAGTTAGGTTTAGGCCCGGATATTCTGGGGTATAGGTACACAAGATGCCTTCTGTGACTTCACAGGAAAGTCAGATCTATTTGACAATTAAAAGTAACTTTAACAGTATTGCTAATAGCATTGCTCCTAGGTAAGCCCTTTCCTAGAACATACAGAAACGGTTGTATAGCTTAGAAACAGATAGGTCCCCACTCCCTTCCTCAAGTTACAGGGAAGTAACAGCACAAAGAAGTTAAGAGATTTTTCTAAGATCACACAGTGGCCCACAAAGCTACAGTTACTATAAGATACCCGTGTCGAATCAGCAGAGCTGTGCTGCCAGCTTGCATTACCTTAGCTGAATGCTGCTTTTCTTTCTTACTGGAGATTATGTTAGTGGGACAAACTGCACTTATGTGGTAAAGGTTCTTTCAAGTGTCACTGCTATGGAACAGAAGAATAGTTCCTATAATCTCTGTCTATTGTTACAGAGCTATTGGACCACAATTAAACAAACTACTGTTAGACAGTGAGCTGCTTTGGGACACTAGCGGGTGACTGGTGCCGGGATGTGTGTAGGCGTGCTTGGGAAAATGTTGCCTTGGGTCACAAAGGATGCATTCTTTTGGGTGCCAAATCTGCAGCATTTTGGGGCTTGAGCAAACTGCAACAGTTTAACATGGAGATTATCCACTTGGGTCTTGATATAGGCTCCATGTGGTCCAAGCCTTCCTGGGGCCAATATGATTATGACTCCTCTGCCTGCAACTCCTGACAGAGGCTTGCTCCTGGAAAGCAAGAAAAGCAGTGAAGCAATTGTCGGAATTATAAAAGCATCTTTGCTGTTTCCTTTCTTTACCTGAGAAATGTTGACTTGCAGGGTCATGCTGTATCTTGTTTTAGCTACAGAAGACAGTACTGCCTCCTCATTCATTTGCTTTCTCTCTGCTCTAGCTTTGCTCACTTGTGCTCCTTCTCACTGCATGCTTCTCAGCAATAAGAAATCTTTCTATATTTTTTCTGAAGCCTCTACCACCACTGAAAGTAGACTTTAAGTTGAAAACACTTGTGTTTTATATTTCAGTGTGATCAAAGTATGGGACTTGCGTAGGAACTATGCCACTTATCGTCAGGATCCAATGCCATTCAAATCTTTTTGCTACCCTGGGACCAGTACTCGCAAACTTGGTAAGTTATTGGATGATGTATTTACCAAAGTGCACAATCTGAAAACTGCTGACAACCCTATTTCTTATATTTATAGCCAATTATATATCAGACTGGCAGGGGGGGGCGTTCTTTCATTGCCAATATCAAATTTTCAATTTGAAGACTGCAAGTGCCCCATTGCTGCATCCTTATACCAATGATTTAAAAAAATCTGTAGGCTTCAATGGTGTATTTTCAGAAATGAAGCTGACAATAATAGTGCTCTCTAGGTAACATTTAACTAATGGTTTTGGTGCATGAGTTGAAATCAGACCGAACTCCTTTGCAAAGAGAACAGAAGGAGATGGAGTTTTTGTTTGTTTTTAACAGCATAATCTTTGAAATTTGAGCAATACTTTAGGCTATTTCTTACCATAAACAACAGTGTTCTTGTTCATGCTGCTCTATACTTCTTTGTATCTTAACTCCTTACAATGCTGTAATCCACTACAGTAATTCCAGATGACTTGTCTAATCAACTTTCTTGATGTAATAATTGTTATCACATTCAGGAAGATGGGGGGGAATCCTCCAGGAACTGGCTATGAAACAATTTATAGGATTAAGAAGAATCTTTCCCTTCCAGTATCACCAGCAAATTAGTAGATGACTTATTGTACTGAAGCATGAGGATTTCTATTTGTTTTCTCTGCTTTTACAATGGGATAGTCCTGTTATGCTTGTGTAACTATAAAATAACTGCTTTCCTGCTGTCAAGGTGAGAATTCTCTCTAAACTTCCTGAATTGCCATGAGATAATGTAGATATTGGTCTACAAACTTTACAGCTATAGCAAAAGCTCTGCCAAATAAATAAACTCTCCCATTGACAATCTCTCATATGTGATAGAAATTATTTCTAAATTTCCCTCTCTAAGCATTCATTCAAATGTTTCCTAAAACAGTTTGTGTGGAGTTATTTCTTATGAAGAACTTCTGACTTTGTCTTTAGGGTATTCTAGTCTGGTCTTGGATTCCACTGGCGCTAATCTGTTTGCTAACTGCACAGATGACAGCATCTACATGTTCAATATGACAAGTTTAAGGACCACCCCAGGTAAGAATGATATCTGGAATTAGCTGCAAGTGTCACATGCTGCAAGGTTATAAAGCTCATCCACAAAACCAGGCATTTGTATAATGTAGCAGCAGACAGCATGGAGTCGTGCTGCTTCAAGAGACCTCTGCTTCAAATCTGCTCTTAATTAGTAATGAAGACGACATTTTATGAACTGCAAGTGATTTGGTGGTACGAGGATAAAGAGCTTAGATTCAGCCTTGAGCGCTCATACTGTGCAAACCAGCATCATAATTGACACTTGCTGGAGCCTTGTTTAGCAGTTCTCTTAGGCAGGCCAAAGACAAGGACTGTCTCATCACCTTATAGACTGATAATTGGCAATGCTAACAAACACGAGAGTAACAAGACAATTTTCTCCCTTGCAGTGGCTTTCAGAGAAAGCTTAAGGCAAAAGAGACCTATTCCATTCTCATAAGTCTAAAACTATCTGGGAGAAACAGCACCTGCTACAAGCGCTGTTCATCTTTGGCAATAAGCCAAGATGATATAAGTGCAAATACTCATTCGCCTAGATTGAGGCTAATAAAACTTTGCATATTGGAGCAACTCTGCTCCAATTACCTTGTAAGGTAGGAATGGTTATTATCTAGGTGTTCTACATATAAACCAGCTTTGAGTCTTCCCTGTACTGACAAGTTAATTTGGAAAACTCTATTAGGTGTGAATTCATATAAAGTGGTCAGTTGGAATGTTGTATTGAGATATTTTAAGATCTCACCCTCTTCATTCTAGTTTCTACAGCAAAACTCTATGAAAAAGCATCTTCATATTGTAGTGTCTTCAGCTTATTAGATTCCTTCAGTTCTGCATCTGTGGCCTTTATGTTGACAAGATGAGTCAAACTTTGATGCACTGAACCTCTCTGTCACGGGCCAATGGATGTTTCTCCAAAAGCAGCAAATCTTATCAGACATGTTTCAGTCAGACAGACATGTGATTTTTCACTGCCTTTTTTTTTTTTTTTTTTGTCTTTCGTTTAATTAAAATTAAATGAACAATGCACTCTTCTGCGTGCTCTTCAGGAAGACAGTCCAGTGGGAATGCTTCCAAAGCTGAGAAGTAGTGCGAATGTTAAATATTAATGGATCAACTGTTGCTTGTAACCCTGGGCTGTCACTGCTGAGCTGTGGAAGTATTCTCACTGGGCTGTCCCCCTGGAAGCATGAGTTCTCCCCAAAGCACAGGACGCTCTGCCTTCTGGCTCTTGGTTTACTTTTTGCCTTGTGCTGCCTTGTGTCTAACGGATAAAATCTAGAGAGAAATCCTGACGCACCCAGCTGGATTAAGAACATGTGAGTTCTCAGAATGGCTGTGGGAACCTCCCGCAGAGGGCAGCACCGGCCTTTGGGCTGGTGTGACCAGCTGGGGAGGTTGCTGGGCCACTTTCCTCGATTGCAGCTGCTCTTATCTCATATTGAGACAGCTTTAGTTTGAAGAACGTGAGGAAATCATCCTGTAAAAGGGTTTGCCTATTTCCTCTGTTAGGAAGATACTCACTGCTCTGTGAATACTGCATTAAAAGAGCTGCAGGTAAAAATCAAAGGATCTTTAGGAGTCTGGCAACTTTTTGAAAATTGTCAAAGGCAACATGTGGTCTCTAGTCTGAGTCACCTTCCTGCCAAACACACTATGGAAAGGGATTGAAAACCCTCCAACCATCCACTAAGTTGTTGCTTTCTTGTTGAAGTGTCCTGGATCCTGCAACATTTGTGGTTTCAACACTTCCGAGCTTTTTATGCCAGGGCTGGTAGAGGGCAAGTCAGTCACACGTGGTGCTAAATTGGGAAACTTGCCCTTTCTACCCTGATAAGAAGTCTGGATATAGCGCGGCCAAGTGCTCTAGATCCACGTTCAGCCCCTGTGTTGGCTGCTGGTGCTTCCGGTCCTCGCAATATGAGGAACGGCAGCTATTCAGGGTGATGGTTTCAAGGCTTTAGCAGATCAGCTGAAGCATTACTGAGACTTTAAAAATAGGCAATGGACAAATGCAGCTGCCGTAGTGTATGCATCGTTAATGAAACAAAGGTGCTGGCAGCAGGAAAAAGCAGTAGCAAATGCCTCTGCTGCTTTGGCAAAGGTAGGCCCTAGTTAGGTCTTCTACGCGGCTATCCCTGTTAATTTAGGGTGGTGATTGTGGCTGTGGAAAAAGACAAGAAACTTTAGCTAGTGTGTTAGGGTAGCCCAGATGATGTCTTCATCTTGTCTTGATCAGAACAAACAAAAGCTTCAGTAAAGCAGCCCCTGATTACTAATGGTATGGAGAGAATGTTTAGGGAAACCTGCTTTATATCAGAAGTACAAGGGCTCCTATTGAATAATACTTCCTGGTGGCTGGGGCTTCCAGCCCTAGAGCAAGGGAGCAGCATAACCACTTTCTCTAGAGATGTGGCTAGGCAGGAAAAGCCTGTAAGATCAGCGCTGCTTATGTAACCAGCTCCACAGCTGTGCATTGAGGATTGCTTTTATTTTCCTTTTTTTTTTTTATTTTTTTTTTATTTTTGTCTCACAGTGGCAGTTTTCAGCGGACACCAGAATTCTACCTTTTACATCAAATCCAGTGTTAGCCCAGACGACCAGTTCCTGATCAGTGGCTCGAGCGACTGCAACGCGTACATATGGAAGGTGAGGCGCTTGGGAGAAACCCACGGTTGCAGCCCCAGGCTGGCTGCCCAGAACTGCTCTGTTCCTTCCTTTCATTTGCTTTTTCGGGTTCGCATAGGGCCCTTCCTGCCTCCCACTCCTTCTTAACTCAGCGTGGGGTTTGCTCCTGGCATGTTGTGCTCAGAGTGTGTTGTTGTCAAAGCTCGATGTAACTATTTAATGTAAAACAGAACTAACCTGCTGCCATCAATATGTCTCTCATCCCTGCTTATTATTGGAAGTTGCTGATCTTAATCTGGTTTTAATGGGCATTAAAAACCTCACTCAATCTTGCTGATTTGGCCAGGCACGATAAGCAGACGGTTTTTGGTTCATATTTAGCGGTGGAGCACATTAGCAAAGACTTAACAGTTTAATTGTCTTAAAGGGCACTCTTTTTTTCCTCCCTTTTTTTTCCAGCTCTTGCTTCAGACGTAGCTTTTTCTCATGCTTAATTTACAGTAGTTAAACCCTTTGTATTACAGCAAGGGCTCAGTCAGAGCCTTCAGCAAAATTCCAGAGCCCTGTCTGACAGCTGAGAGGCTTAGTCACTTGGCATCTTGCGCTGACGTGTAGGAAATGCAAATGTCACAAAGTTAATAGCAGAGACCTCAGAATGAAACATGCTTCGAGTCCTGTTCTCCATAGTTTACAGCTGTATGTCAAAGCTCAACATTCCTCCCGAGCTATGGGAACATAGTGGACTTTAAAGAAACGCAGGTAGAAACGTAGGTGACTGTTTCAGATGTTTTGTAATTCTTAGGGAATGCTGACTTTTCTTACCTCTTTCATGGCAAGATTGAAAGTAAAACAGAAACCTCCCTACTGTGGTTGTGGTTTGAGCATGTAGCCTCTTTGAGTCAGAGCTCACTGTTCTTGTCAGCAGCTAGCTTGCTTACTCAGACATAGCAGGAGTATAGGAGCATGGCTAGCCCTGTGTCAAAAGAGGTGGTGCAATTTTAGCCTTCCTAGTGTTCCGAGCTTGTGCAAAAATACCTGTGAAAACTTGGGTTGTGCATCTTTGCATTCACGTGTTTCAATTTCCCTGGAACACAGCCTGGGACTGGGCCAGGAGCATTCAAGGACACTGTAACATCTCAAAGTTTAAGCAAAGACATTTAAAATGCATTTGCCTACAGACAGCTTTATTGCTATCACATGTGGGTAACAGATGTTATTGCATATTTATTAAATAAATCATCCAATGATCATCTTCATTTAAATTCCATAGTCGTGTTAGAAAGTAGGACTTTCAATGAAACTCTATCTCATTTCAGATTTGTCTTATTCCGAGACTTCTTAATTTATTTTAAATGCAAGGAAGTTTTGCAGAGACTGAGGTGTATGCATATCTTCCAGGGATGAGCACTTACTATGCTGTGAAAATGTGGTCAAATATTTCTTGAGCAATTAAAAGGTAATGTCAGAAAGAGCTTAATGAAAAGCGCTAGCTCTCCATATTTAGGGAGGAATGGAAGGCAGAGCAAAGACATTGTCCACCCAGATTATTTCTTTGAGGAAATTTGGCAGCAGTGCTAAGTTGCGTTTGGGTCAAGGAAAGTGCTGAATGGGCAAGAATGCTGTTTTGGTCTGTTCCACATACAACATCACTTTCAGGCAATAACATTTTGCTTTGTGTTGATTTTTTTAATTATTTATTTTAATTACTAGACTGATTAATGAACTGACTCTTGAACAACCTTAAGTTTATAAAAACCAGTGGGCAGAGAAGATTCTGTCTACAAAAATGATACATAGATGGTATCCTCTGACTCTCCGGAAATAAAACATACCCTTTCTAGATAAGTGCTTCCATAGCTCCATAGTCCTTTGAATCCTCTGCTATGGGCCACTCTAACAAGACGGTATTAAGCAACCCTTCGTTCTATATCAGTGTTGAGCTTTTATGCTTCTGTATCATCTGAAGCATAAAATTAAATGTGCCATTTCATTCTGATTCTTGAAGACGGATACAAAAGCTGTTTCAATGAGTAGGGTACCTGCTAAAACCTCATTTCCTCTCTGTGTGTGTGTGTGTGTGTTTTGTTTCTTGTTTTCTTTTTTCTCTCTCTCCCTACAGTTTCTCACTTGTTAATAGTCATAGCCTCCCAACAAATCAGGCCAAAAGTAGCATGAGCTGAGGCTAATCCTAACACGTGCATGCTGGCCAACTATCTTTGGCCAAGAAGAATGGGTACTGCTGTAATTACGTCCACCCCACCCCATGGGAACACTGTCTTTGTGGTCTCTCTTGTAAGCAGGAGCTGTTTCAAGATCACTGTCCTTCTCAAGGCAGGGACCCACTGGCCAACTTTGGCCAAAAGCTGAGGTAGATAGATGGGTCCCCTCATTGTAGGAAGTTTTTCTTTCTTAAGGTTCAGGGCTAAATCTGAGTTTCTGGACTCTAGCATTCCAGTGACATAAGGAAATGTAAACATGTAAGTCTTGTAATTCTGTTTTTTTCTAGGACCCAAGGAGAAAGATGCACTTTATTGATAATATAGTCTAACTTTTTTCTCCTTCAGATTCCAATGACTGTGTTTTTCCTTTTGTACATGATAGTATAAACCAGTTGTAAGCAGTTTAAATGACACTAGTGTACTGTAAAATCAGTATAGATGCAGAATTTGGCCCAGTAAGTTTAATCCCTTCCTCTGCTTTCCTCTCAGCAATCAATGGCCACTAGACTGCTATTGTGTCTATGCTATGTGTGTATAGCAAGACTGCTTTTAAGTCGAAATGAAGATGTTCTCTGCAACAAGCTCTCCTGCAGTTTATTCCCTAAATAGGGATTTAAGTTTCCATGGTATTGCATGTTTTGGCAGACAAGGGAATACTCTGAATAAGGCATTTAGTAGGTACTTAGTTAAGTGATTGCCTCTGCTATGATGGGGAAAAAATGGCCTGTTATGGTGAACCTGTTTGTATCAGAACAACTTCAAGATTCTGGAGGTGTACTCAATTTCTGCTTTGCAGGCTGTTACAAGAGGGGATTCCCAAGAGAAACTTGTGCAGAAACTCAAAGTCTTCCCCAACATCTTGCGTCTTCCTTGGAAATCTATATGCAGCATCTCTTCCTTTTCCCACATGGGAAAGGATCTGTTCATTCGCTTAGTCATTTATGCAAATCCTCCTCACAATGTCACATCAGTAGTGGTGACTCATAGCTCTAGAGAGCATTGCCTGCTGGAAGCATGCAAACCGTGGATGTAATCTGTTTGTGTGCATTTGTGTACGTGTGTGTGTTTTCTTCCTCAGGCCACCTAATGCTAGCTTCAGCTCTCACTTATGCGAAGATTAATGGTAAAACTGTAGAATAGGAGAAAGCTTTTTATGAAGGCTATAAGAGAAAGGGGGATAAGTTTAATGAACATGTATGCTTTAAGTAGGTTTTTATGAACTCTTAAGGCTTCTCTGATCCAGTTGATTGGCCATAAGCAGTACTACCACTTGGCAGCTACACAAATAATAATTCTAATCCCAGCAAAGACTCATCTCCTGGATTTTTTTTTTTTTAATAAATCATTGACCTAAGATTGGGACACTTCTAAAACAGCAGTAGAATATATTTGCCTCTTCTAATTCAAAGTAGGAGTTTCCCACACCATTAAGCATCTTGTCTAGAACAGCCAGGATTACTTAATGCAATAATATGCTTGCTTAGTACCTTGGGTCGACAACTCTCGAGGCAGAAGACCTATGCACAACAAGAGCTAACCAAATGCTTCCAGGAAAGTCAGTACATCTCAGTGCTGACCAGCTTCACCTCTAGAAATGAAACACTGACTGTTTCTTAGAGCTCAGTTAGTCATTGTCTATCAGAAAAGATTGCCCATAGTCCTTGTTGTGAGGACGCTTTATGGATGAAGAAGGGCCTCTGACAGTCCATCACGAGGTACTGAAATGAAACCATGGGCTCACACTATATGGGCTATTGAACAACTGCCATGGAGTAGCTATCTTTATTAATGTCACCCCTGTGAAATTAATTTCCTCCTTGCTTTAAGACTTTAAATCCTATAGAGAACATTGTCTTTCCACAGCTGCTAAGAGTGCAGAAGCTGCAGTGACTTTTGGGAGAGTTTGACACTTTTGAAGATATCTACTGCTGAAAAGTTCTGGGGGTAAAGGCATGGAGATTTACAGCTGGGTTCTCTCAGCAATAATGGAATATGGTGACAGGCATTTGGTTCATTTGTCTCATATGGAAAAAAACAGAAAGTATTCATATGCTTCACAGATGGACTGTGAAGCCCTTTTACTTATGTGTACAAAGAAATCAGACTGCACATCTGATTTTTATACTGCTTTTCCTATGGAATTTTTAAGGTTTCTGAGCCCAGCCTTCTTCCACGGATGCTACTTGGTCACTCTCAAGAAGTTACCTCTGTTGCTTGGTGTCCTTCAGACTTCACTAAGGTTTGTCTTCCAGAAAATTGTCTTTCCTGTGAAATAACAGATATGTCGTGACAACATCTGCTTTTCAAAATTTAAGCAGAGTTTGTTTATTTGGAAGGCTGTTCTTTGCAATAGCTTCCAAAAATATCCAGTGTGGGAGGCAGTAAATCAAACTTCTCACATAAATACAATATATCAAAACTTCTTATTATTTTCAAATAATTTGGACTATTTAATAAGATCTAGCAAATTGTAAATGAATGAAGGCTCCTCCTGATGAGACCTGGTTACACTAACTAAACTGTCTGTGTAGCTATTTCTTCAGGGTTTTCATGAGCCAACAGCTTGTTTTGTGGTTCTGTACTTGTCTTCCTTACCTACATGCACCAGATTTATGCAAAGTGGCAAGAAGTTTTTAATGTCCTTTCAAGAACATGTTTGTTTGTTTGTTTTTCCACAAGTATTTGTCAGAGAAACCCATGGTAGAATCCACTAAGTATAACTAAAAGGAAGAGAATTATGGTAGGAAGATGCGTAATACAGTCAGCCTAGCTCAAAAAGAGAAATAACCCTGAAAAATCCTAGAGAGATCCCTAACAACAACTAGTTCTTTTCACCCAATAGCATTAAGCAATTCAGCCACTTCCCCTAACTTTTGCTATAGCACCAGGACTTCAGAATAGATTTGCAGTGCAGGAAACAAGGGTCTTGCAGACAAATGTACAAAGAATTTTTCTGGTTGTACAGGGTGTGCAGGAGTAGTTCATATGAAGTATTATTATACTAGATTAAATGTGGTACACGTTGTCCAGTATCTGGATTATGATGGTTTGGAAATGCAGAATAAGGCCACCTTTAAAATCTTTGTTAATGCAAACAAGTAATAGTTAGCTATCATACAAATTCTGAAGTATAAAGACAAATGAAAACATTAAGAAAATGTTGAGAAATGGTAATGTTATGAAAATTTGGGGAATGATTTGAGAGGCAAAATATTGATTTGAATACTTGAAGTTATTTTAGAGGCAGAATTGCTTTCTCTAGGAACTATATTGGTGTCACAGGGGTCAGAGTAGAGACATTTCCCTGTCCAGATTACAATGAACTTTAGACACAGCATTTCCTTTTTCTTGCTTCTAATTCACAAATGAGTCACTAGGTAATTGGTCCAAAGAGCACCATAAATTGTGGGATAGACAAGTTCTGTCGCTTCTCTGGAACAGGTGCCATAGATCATTGTGGAATGCAAGAAACCAAGGCTGGAATCTAGACTAATGTTTCTGGTGGAGTTGATTTCTCTGACAGATACTGCTAACATCAGGGTCTGTGCAGAGGTTCCTCAAGGGTACTGCAACAACCTTCAGTGTCTTCAGTGTGTTGCAGATGTTTGTCCCCAAGTCTTGAATGAGAGAGGCAGCCCTAGATGCAGGTAGAGAAATGTCCTAGGTTGTTTCCAGTTTCCTGGAGCATATACGGTAGGGCATGACTAGATGGCCTTTTTTGTCTGAGCGGCTGAAACTTCAAAACATGCTTTGGCCTTCTCTGCTACACTGCTACATGAACGAAATGAGGTTCTGTTGTTTCGTTTGTTTTGTGGGCAAATCCTGTACCCCCTCGACCAGCTGTTCTAGATCACTTGGCCTGTGAATCACTGGGTATAGCCTGGTTGCTCCAACAGATTAATTTATACCATAGATTGCCACGTGCTCTGATGACAACACCGTGAGGATTTGGCGTTTACGACGTTGTCCTGCGGAGGAGAAACCGGCATTCAGCAAAACCGACTTGGTAGGCTGGGTCACGCAGAAGAAACCAGAAGATCAAGGTAGAGTGGGTAAGGACCTTGGGGTATCTTGTTCTTTTGGGTGTTCTCTGTACCAGCAGAAGCCTTTTGCCTTCATCTTCAATATCTTTCATAATGGTGAATAATGTGTATAATCAGACAGATACTTCTACTACTAAGTACTTCTCCACCAACTACAGGAGCACAACTCAACTATCTTACAGCTATGCTAAAGTCTCTATGACCAAGAGCTGCATGTCAAATATTTATTAACACATTATTGGGCAACCAGATCTTTGCTGGGCATCAGCAGCATAACTGATAATTGGGCAGCCAAAGCAGATGTCCAGCACGGACTTCTTTAACTGCCAGAGCTGAAACACAGAATCATGGGCTTCAGAACTGAGGCCTTGCAGCTCTGAATAAAAAAAAGATTTTGTTATTAGCTATTACCACCACTTTTATCATTATTGTTTTTATTTATTTATTTTTAATCACATAGTACCTGAGAGACAGAATGTCACTTTTTTGTTTTGGTATTTTATTTAGTTAAGGACTAGTGGCATATATAGAGCCCTGGAAGTCTGAGTTTCCTCCTGCCCAGCAGAGGAATTCTGCACTGTGCTTTTTTGCAACTGCTATTGAGTGTCACATTTTTTACTTTGCTTCACATAGTCTTGAGGTACTGACTGTTCTGTCCCAGTGGAGCTAAGTGTAAAGACCTAAACAGCCATAGCCAATCACCATGTGTACATAATGTTCCAAAATTAATCAATAACATTCATCCATTCACCTGTTAAAGCCAGTTAATGAATACCATACCCTTTGAGAAAGCCTATATAAACTATACAGCATATTTCCAAAATTGGCAGATCTTGGCTTTATCCCTCTCAAGAATATCTAAATTTGGTCAAGATCATTCTGATATGCGTATGCAAAGGCTTCCAGCAGTAAAGTTCAGTATATGTAGGGTTGTCTCATTTCTGAATTATTGCTCCTCTGCAGAAGAATAGGTAGTCTAGACAGTACTGAAAACCAAAAGAAAGCAACCCCGCATCATAGCATTACTCTTGACTTGTCTGAAAGTTGCATTGTGTTATGTTAGTGAAGATGAATGGAGAATACACCCCCAAAAGTGGGGGATGTGCATCCCCCACTTCACTTTCCCCAAGTGAGATAAAATAGGCTTCTCTGTGTAGTAGCTCTGAAACTAAGTACCCTGAGTATACAATAGCTCTGCAGCAGCTGGTGATGTGACTTCCTGTGTTCCACCTTTCTTTTCAAGGCACTTTCCAAATTAATTTCACCTTGGCTAGCACAAATAGAGGCTGAAGGTCTCCCAATCCCACTAATGGCATAACATTGCTCACCGACAAAAGGTTAGATGAACAGTCTTGCAGGAAGCTTGCAGGACAATAGGAGGGAGAGTGCCAAGTCTGCTCCATAGCTGGTAAATTGTGTGTGTGTGTGTGTGTGTGTGTGTGTGTGTGTACACTTTGCTTCAGACAAGTCTGGGAAATCACTTTGTCTACTATTTTCAGCAGAAGAGAAGTAAGCCTACGTCTAGCCTAGAATCCTGAAACCTAGTGTAATTTGTATGCTGAACTTTACAAGTCAGCTTTACCTATTATGCTAGAAAAAATAGCTTATTTCTCCTTGCTCTTGCTGCATTAGAGCAACACAGGGGGA